ATACGAACACCAGCAAGGCTTTCTCAAGCTTACCTGTCACATACAAGAGCAAGGGAGGAAAAACATCTGGGCCTGTCGACGCAGGAGCAGCTGACTGGGACATATGGAAGAGCACCTGTCACAGCAACATGGAGGGAACTCAGCAAACAGAACAAGCCCCTGCCTTGCAAGGGTCTTGGCTGCCTCAGGGAACCAAAGGGTACTTGCCAGGAGGAGCACAGAGGGACCCAGCTCCTTTGGGGACCAAGGGACACTACCAGGAGGGGCAGAGGGGAAGATGGCTCCCTTTGGGATCCAGGAGCACTGCCAGGAGGTGCCTGGTGACACTGTACCCCAAGGTCTGGGCTTCCCTCCACAGGCAAACGGGCATGGCTGCTCTCAGAGAAGAGGCTGTGCCCCAAGACTCCCTCCCACCACCTCTCCGTCACCCTTTTCCCTGTCACAGCAGGGGAAAAGCTCTTACCTGCACGCTGCCACGCCTGAGGGAACTCACTCTCAGAAGCTTCTGGAACCTTCCGGGCCAGGTGCTCCCTGGGCAGCCCCGCCCTAACGAGCAGGGCCCGCCCTAACGAGCAGGGCCCGCCCTAACGAGCAGGGCCCGCCCAAGCCCCTCAGCACCACACACCAGCCCCCCTGCAGCCCTGTCCCACTGCCTCAAAGAAAGTCGCTTTAAGATCCTCAGGGATCAAACCCAATGCAAAGAGCAGAAAGTTCACAACAAGCAATAGAAGAGCTACCTTTTTTCCTGTCAATCCTGAAAATCAACTTCCTGAACACCAGGCTTCACCTTTTCTCCTTGGACCTAAATGAATGTAAGTTGTAAAAAGCTATCCATGGCCTAGGAAGGATCGAAACCCTAGCGCCTACGTTACTTTTTACAGCTGCCATGACATTAGAATGAAGTCTGGTAATGTGCATGTAACAAAGCTATGCAATCGATGGCTTTCCAGCCTTTACCCTTGCAATGGCAAGGCATCATTAACACAAGACCAATATTGCAATAGGAACTGTATTGTTCCATTTAAGCAGTAATAAAAATCCTCTTCAGCCTTGTCCCTGTAGGCTTCATCGTTTAAAGTCTGGAAACTTAGAACCTGTAACAAGAAAGGGAGGGCAGCCTAAGCCCATTCAAGTTCTACATTAAGTACAAGGAATTAAAAAAAACCCAAAGAAATGTCAAAATAAATACCATAGCACATGTTCAAGCCAGCCTCAGAAAAGCACTTTCAGAAGCTATTTCCAGTAGACAAGAACTGACCTTCCCCTTATAAAATGCCACAGGGTATAAATAGAGCAGCCTCTTCAAATATGCAGCTCCAAACTCCCGTGCAATTTGTCATGAATACTTCTCCCTCTGCTTCAAGCACGTTCAAACAACAGGGCACTCTTTTGTCAGTATACCCAGAGCACTAATTAGCTCGAACTGGCGTCAAAATACCTCACTGTTTCTGAAAAATCATAGATCAAAACCAAAGCAGAACCAGATCAAGGATGCAGCCTTCCTGACTCCCTTTTGACCAAACATTTATTCTGTAAAGATACTCGCCACTTCTCTCTGTGGCACCACAACATTCTCCCAAGTTTTGGAGATGCTGATTATCACGAACTGCAAATATGGAACACCCAAACAGCCAGCTCACACAAATGCATTATAAACCCTGATAGCTGGAAGACAAGGAGCCATTAGAAATGTACACAAACATGTAACTACGCAATTTGAAAGCAAATTTTAGCTTTTCAGCAGGCAATGAATAGACAATGAGTTATTGTGCATCTTTCTCTCTGCAATTATCACCCCTTTGGAATGCATCTCTTGCCAGCTCTTTATCAGTTGTGTGCGAGACGACTCTACTGGCACAACGTAACAGCTCTTAGAAAATAAGATGCAAGAAAAACTCAGCTACTGGGGTATATATAGTGTACTATATCTAATTCCAAGCTCACACTTCATGAGTCATCAGGCCTCATTTTCCCTTGCACGTCTTCTGAACACCTTTGGTTCACAGGCTAATTTAAAAGATGACGACGGCATGCAGTCTTTCCTACTCTGTTGAAACTAGAGGAATCATCCTCTCCGGTTTAGTTGTTCTCGTCTTTTTGCGCTTCTTTGGCTGATGCAATGAGACCTTATCCACACACTTCATTTTAACTACTTGTTTGTGCTCAGACAGATCAGTGGCTACAACATATTAACATTGTACACAGAAAGCCCCTTAAGTCATGACAGCCAAAACATCCTTACACGTTCACTCTTATCAATTTGATTGCTTAATTTATGGAAAAACATGCCAAAGCTATGCAGTACAGCCCTAGAGCATAAACGTGCCTCAGGGAGGCAAAATATACTCTGAACTGGACATGATGTTGGTGTTTTGTGTACTGTATATTAAAAACGAAACGACCTCAAAGAAAGAAAGAAAAAACAAGCAAGAAAGACAAGACAGCTTTGAAATAGACAAGATGGCCGTGCCGGCATCCCATGTTATCCCAGATGAAAATAACCCTTTTCCCACTAACAACAATCAACAGACACATTTCGCTTGCAGGCAAAACCTGGCTGCTGTAGTGTAGCTTGGTTTTATTTATGTCCACAAATATTTCAAAAAAATTACAAAATACTCAAATGGAGAGAACACAGAAGTCACGATTTCTGGGTTTCTACTCTGTTTACACTGTGTTATCCCATGGCAAACTACTCATATATACATTAAGCTTCAAGATATATATAAATGTAGCAGTCAGAATGTACACTCTGCTTTAACGGTGCAGTGAAACAAGCTCAACCATGACGACATAGAACAAGAGAGACGTTTCAAAAACACTAAAGCAAAATTAAAAAATAAACTTTCAAAACAGAGGAAAAATAAGAGAGATTTCTTAAAGAAAATCAAAAGGTCTGGGTTGTTTTAACAGGGCATCGAACACCAAGATGGCTTCAAAAACCACTGCATGTAAAGTTGTAGTTAATCACTGGTCTAAAATGGAAGAATTTCAGTGCTTATTTGCTGAATTATGTGAACAAAAAAAACTCCCACAACTTATCAGAATGCTTTCCTGGAAAAAAAAAAAAAAAAAGAAAAAAAGAAAAAAGAAGAGATCAATGAGTAACTTCTGAACAGACTGCAAACTTCAGCTGGAAAAAAATACAGAGAGGACCATGGGAGGCAATTAGCTTTTTTTTTTTTTTTCCCCTTAAGAAGAGCTATAGCTAAAAATAACAGCAAAAGAGAAGGATCAGAAGAAAAGGCTGAGGTGGCTGAACTCCCCCAAACTCCCAAATTCCACATGGTAAAAACAAGGAGGGGAGGTTTAACTGAAACATGCCTAATTAGACCTTTAAAGTAAACTGAGGCACTCTCTCTGCTGAGCAGACCGATCTTCCTAGCTACTCCGCTGTTAGCAAAAGTAAAAAACGTTACTCAGAAGAAAACCATTTCACCTGATCACTGCAGACAGCAACTGAAGGCATTGACTGAAGAAGACTTTACCATCCTCGATTCTAGATTGACCTCATGGTTTCCAACTCTCAGAAACACTAGCTGTTCCTCCTAATACCTTCATAGAGAGTTCAAATATAGCAGATGGAACTGATTAAATGCTACTGCAGTTCTTTAGCACTGAGAAATCTGGAATGGAGGACAGAAAAAAAGGAAGATCAACATCAGCTGAAATAGTCCTCCTCTCTCTCCTATACACTCTTGCCTTAAGCGGACCTGGAATACCTCGATGCATATTGTGAATTGGTAAATTGATGTTACTAGATGTGCGACAGTCATCTTTGGGCACTAACACTGACGCCGTTTTGAGACCCATGAGGTGGGTAAAGCACTGCGAATGCCATGCCTTCCATCAGAATGTATGATTAACTACAAGTTTATCAACCATGGCTCAGCACAGTCCTATGACACAACCATCACACTGAACAGTTTACAACAGCAGAGAGAGAGCACTCATGAGTTAAGAGAATGGGGGGAAGTTATGCACCTGCAGAAAAAAATGGCCAGCAGATTCAGATGTCCATTGGTTGCATCACCCTCTGCTCTGGCAAAGAAAACCCATGGCACAAGAGTGGAAAAAAACCCCATTCTGCCTAGACAGTAAGCAGAGCTGTCTCCAAAACAATGCTCACTGGCCTTCTGTGTATTCCTCTCCTTTTACCATCCACATGGGAACTAGCCAACAGGAGTTATTCTGCATGGACCTGTTGTGTTGGGAGTCAGTAAATGTTACCGTCCATATATCTGGTTAATCGCAAAGCAGTAAGTTCCTGAGATACAGAACACTGGTGGCAATTAAAAGGTTTTTGCTTACAAAAAGAAAACTAAAACAGTCAAAGAGAAATACAGACTGGTCTTTGCAAAACAACTTTAAGAACACTGAGTTGCCTATCCACTTTTCTTAAGAACATATCAAACATAAGAGGCCAGAAACGGCATGTCCTCCAAAAAATATGCACATGCATACAAAATTCTGGCCGTACTAGTTTGAGCCACGGAACATTTTTAAAAAGAGATTTTAGAACAGATTTCTTTGAACCTTTGCCTAAAGTCTAAAACCAACGTAATTAGATTAAGTTTCAAAAGGTAATAGGAAAGAAGTGTATTATGGCCACACTGAAAATTAACCCTTGAAGTAGGCATCAAAAGGGTAAGCTAGTTCCAAGGGACACCTGTACTGCTGAGAAACCCAACTCAACAGAAATTATCTGCAGAACAGAGAGATGTAACACTAACAAAAAAACCCAACAAACCCAAACAAACCAAAAAACCAAGAACAGAAACAGTCATTTGCAACATTATCCCTGCAACTCCCTTTAATGCTTATTGTTGATATCAAACCAAATTTCAAGCTTTTACCCATTTGAAATTATTGATACTCATCATTCCCTTTAATTAAAGGGATAATTATATATATATATTTTATTAAAAAATCAACTCTGTATTCTGTCAATACCAGGTAGGAATTCACAATTTGTGATGTTACTGAAAATCAAGATAAACGTTTCTGGAGTTTTGTTTTGTTTTGTTTCTCCCCTCTACCCAAAAAAGTTATTTACAGACTTAAAAAGCCATGCTGCAGAACTGAGCTCTCTTTAAAATTATGAAGATTTCCTACAATGTATTAAAATAAAAGTAGATTTTTATTATTATAGCACTTGGATTCAGAGCTTGTTATGTCACCTACTTGCAATCCTTGTTTTTTTTAAAATAGCTATAGATGCATTGAGTGTCTCTTCACGCACAGTGACTTGTGTTGTGAACCTGATTCTAGCACCTACTCAAAACAAACTAGTAAGAAAAAAAACCCAAGATTGCAGGAAGTTCTCTGAATATTCCACACAGTCCTGTATTTTCAATAGGCTTCTGAATACGTTGTCATGCAGGGAGACCCACACCAGTCTTGAGAAATCTTCTCTACAAATGAACACTATGCTGATAAGTCTCTACTTGTTGGGTGGTTGTTTCTGTTTTAAATATATAAAGAAATCTTTATAAGATATTCTTTTCCTTTTGTAGCTCTTATGTATGTAAAAATGTTCCACTCCTTCCCAAGGACTGGGGTTTCCATAGCCAGCATTACAAATAAATAATTTATTACAACTGTTTGTCGCCTTCTTTCTTCAGTCGACTGAAAGAGAAAGAAAACTCATTTTAACAAAACGAAGGAGGTGTCACGACACTTCAGAGAGAGCCTGCCTTCCTGCTAACCTCACCCGGCTGCCCTGAAGGGAACAGAGGCTGCAACAGGACTTGTGAGCTTTCAGCACAAAAATGAAAGCCATTGTAACAGCAGTGATAACCCTGCCTGTTGTGGGAGGAAGCGATGACCTTTTGCTACCGAAGCGCTCCTTACATGTGAGCAAGATCACTAGTGCCAGCTCCTCATGCTTTAGCTTTATCTGCACTTGCAGATATGACAGTCAGCTTCAGGCAGACCGGCTGCCCCCATGGCACGAGGCCAGCAGGCAATTTTGGATAGCAGAAGCGAGGACTGAAACATCAAAGTAAAGCAGCGCAAGGCAGGTGTTTAATCTGCTGCTTCCTATATATCTTTGCTACCCACAGACATGCAGAATGACTCCTGCTAGGTGCTGGTGGCTTCTTCTTCTTAGCTGACATATTGCCAGTGGTCACGGCCAAACAGGAAATACGGTGGTGTCGCATAAGGTAGGCCAAGGAGAGAACCACTCTACTGCCAACACCATGTAGCATTCTGGGCAGAAAGGACTTGCGTGATTCGTCTAGGCCTTCTCAGCTGGTGATGCAGGATCTGTGTTATTCACCCATTTCAACTTCCTATTACCCTTCGTCATTTCTTAAGATTTATTGGATTCCTCCCCTCTTCTCATTCATAAAGCTTTTACCCACCCTCCTCCACTGTTCTCAAGGAAGAGGGAGAGATGTGGAAGCGGCAATCATAGTATCACACTAAAAACCCCAATCAGAGCTAATTCTGCAATTTAAGACTCAACTAGTCTACATTCTGTGCCAATAATTTGGACCTAGCTTCCAATTTGCCCTATCACCTGTGCCCAAATTAGGTCTTAGTACAGCTCCACCATCTTCCATAACTGCATCAGGACAGTAACTCAGCACACAGTAAGAAAGGCAGTAATTCAGAAGAAAAAAGATGGAATGTGGAGAAAGATGAAGGCAGCTGCAGCACCCCCGAGTCTCCGAAAGCCTTCATTGCACCTCTCACCTGTAATAATCTTCCTGACTTGGTAGATGACCACCATGCATGTGAGGATGCCCATGCAACCACTGCTGCTCCATTGCCAGTCTTTGCAGCTCTGCTGACTGGGCATGCATGGCCTGCAGTTGGTGGGCTGCTGACATAGGAGGTGGAATGGCACCAGGCAGATCTCGTGGGTAAGGAGTACCTACGAGAAAGTTGCCCATTTTTAGACACTTGTTTGCTATGAGGTCTGCAGAGAGTTGTCCCATGAAGCTTTTTATTTTGTTTTTTTAAACCAACCAACCAACCTTTGGCTGTAACCTAAGTCACAGCTCAACTCTACCAACTCCCCTCCCAAGAAATGCAAAGACCCAGAAGAAAAGATGACATTTCAGATCAAGAGCCAACCTTTGCAAAGACCACAAAATGCTCTCACCGAAGACTGGATGTCGGAGCATTTCATGCTCATGAGGTGGCTGCCCTAGCAATGGGTTGGGGATGGTCCCAGGTGGGTAGGGAAAACGTGCCAAGTGGGGTCCAGCTGCTAAAGGATCCACCAGCGG